TGCAGTGGCAACATACCCTACAGCATTTCATAGAGAAGATCCCAGCTCTGGTTCTTGGCCACTCCATAAATTCTTCAAAACCACAATATGCTGAACATCAAAACGTAGTAAAAAAGCTCTTTTGTTTTTTTCATCTGACCTTTTCTGAGACAGTGTTTTCTGTTAAATGATGCAGTACCAATCCCCCATTTTCAGAGCCGGGAGGGATTCAGTTTTAGAACACATTTTAAATGCATGTTTCATTTTTTTGTTGCTGTTGCATATATGCCCACAGCTAACAACAAATAAATAAAAAAATCATGAAGTGAAATCTAATCGAAAAATTGCCTAGAGTTAAAAATACACTGTTCCCTAATAGAAAAAACAGATTATGCACAAATTTACCATTTCAGCATACTGGGATTTGATTTTGAGGTTTAAGCAGATTTTAGTATATTTAGATGGTAGAAACTAATGGCTGGTTTTGTTTTTATTCTACTGTTTTAAACACTTATGAAATAATTTCCTACTGCAGAAAAGACTTATTAGATTAGCAAGTAACCAGCTGATTAAATCTTTTATGTCTTTTACAAAGATGCAGCTCTGCTATTCTGTTGCTCCTTTAGTATAGAACAGGCTCCAGTCTCTTTCCTGGTTTAGGAGGCCATCTCTGGCACTCCCACTAACCTGAATATTTCCTGCACTTGTTAACCTTCATTTTCGTTTGGTGACAGTGTTCCCTTTATCCTCTTGCATGTTTGGCTCTCGACGCCTGTATAACATGACTTTGACAGCTTCATCCTTCCTATTGCCTGGCTTATCAGGGATTCATTAAGCTCAAGAGAACTTGGCTCCCCATTCTTGCTCTGGGTGCAGAGGTCTGTTCCCATGGCGTGTATCGCAGTTGCAGGAAGTATCTTTCTCAGCCTCACGGTCAGAAAAGTTTGGAGTCAGACATACAGCTTAGACACTTCTTTCATCCTGGAAGGCTGAAGTTCGACAATGTGGTAACATCTAGGATCTGAAATGGCAAGATGCAGGTAATTTTGATAGGAAGGAGGGGTTCCTTGGCATTTCACAGTGAATGCTGTCATCACTTGTGCCTCCACTATGAAACTGAATTTCCTTTCTTAGTCTATCAAGAGGATCTGAGAACATGCAACAGACTTTGCAAGGTGCTTACGTGAAAAAACTTGGGCTTTGTTTAATCATGAATGGCTAATTTAATTCTAGAGTTGAACATCCAGTCCTCAAAATTTCTGGATAAATTTGACATTGTGTGCATCCTTTGTGGTGGCTTCAGCTGCTTGCTAAGCAGAAGCAGAAAAAGGGCTAGTTCAGAGCTACTGCTTGTGTCTTCTGGTCCAAGGGCCTTAGAAGTCGCTGGGAAAGTCTCCTGTGACTCACACTTGTAACACTTAAATCGATGATGTGTATCAGATAGGAATTTGATTCCAAACTTCACACACAAAGTGTAATTCTGGAGTAGGTGTTTTTTCAGTTAAAAGATTTCTACAGCTGGGCAAGCTGAATGTCCTCATCTGATTAAGACATGATCAAATACATTAGTCAAAACCTCATGGGACAGGATTGGATGGTTCCTAAAATCTCAAGGGGCAGGGCTGGATGGTTCATAAAGTAACAAGATAGTCAGAGAACACAGACCAGCAGATATTAGATAGTTGGCCCAATTGATTAAGTACGGCGGTTGAGTGACAAATGGTCCTTCTGGAAGGTTGGATCTTCAGTATCAAAAACGTGCCTTATTTACATGATGCTAGTGCCAAACGGGGTTACATGCTCCATTCAATGTCTCTAATCACCTCTCTGTTCCTTGAGTGCTGACGTTACTTCACTTAGAGCAAATGCCCATCTTTTAGTAGAAGGGTTTCCAAAATATTAATTATGGAGCATAAATACAGTTAAAAGAAAAATGACATTAAAGGCAGCCAGCACTTGAGTTTAGAACACTGGATTTCTGAATAGCCCAAATTTAATTCAAGGCAGTCAGTCTTTCACAGAATTTTCACCAAAGAGGTTGTTACTGAATCTTGGGCAGAGCTTTGTTTATTAACAATTGTGCATTTATCGTCAGGTGATTTTAAGTATAAAGGTACCAGCTTGACCCAACCCAGTACTTAAAACAGTGCAGTACATCACATGTTCATTTAGTGTGGGCTTAATTGCTCTTTCCTAGGTAGTATTTAATGGAATAGGCTTTTAAAGCTTCCAGTATTGTCTTTATATTTTGCAAGATTAGACATGAAATGTGAACGGTCAATAAAGGTATCTCTGATTTTTTGGCCTTAATGTAGTGGGTCAGACTGAACTGGCTTTAAGACTCACAGTGAAACTTACTTAAATGAATTGCTCTTTGGAAAGAATACATTTCAATGTAAGCTAAAATGAAACATTTCTCTTTGTTTTATACATAAGAGATTTAATTGTTATCTGTGCTTAGGAAAAAAAAAATCACAGCACAATCTTTCTCCTAGACTTTGAAATAAATACTTGATTTTTGCATTAGTTGTACAACTGCTAAACTGTCCACGTAACTTTGAGACAGAAGATGAAAAATGGCTGGAGGATGGAGTATCAGACTGTACACTCTCCTGATCAAGGGCTGACTCTCGGTTTGTGTTTGTGCAGTAGGAAGTGCAGTGTAAGCCTTGCCACTGGGACAAACTTAAACTACAGGGTGCAAAAAGGGAACTCCCAAGTTGAGATTCCAGGTCTCTAACTCCTTCCCTAGCCTTAATCTTGGTAATGAACAGTGACTCTTTAAGTAAAACAGAAACAATTTGAGGAAGAATTTCTTCACTCTGAGGGTGACGGAGCACTGGAACAGGCTGCCCAGGGAGGTTGTAGAGTCTCCTTCTCTGGAGATATTCAAGACCCGCCTGGACAAGGTCCTCTACAGCCTGCTGTAGGTGATCCTGCTTCGGCAGGGGGGTTGGACTAGATGACCCACAGAGGTCCCTTCCAACCGCGACCATTCTGTGATTCTGTGATTCTGTAACAATGCGTATTTCCTTGACCTATGCAACAGGACCTGATCCTACGAAAAAACACCATGCTGTTTTCTCCCTCTGATTCCACAGCAAGTTGTAAACATTCAGATTCAGGGATAATTCACTGAAACACACTGCAGATTAATTTCCTGAAATACACTATTAAACTACTCTGTAGTTTTCTTTCTTAATGTAGATACTTTTTGTGTGGTGTGTCACCCTCATTTAGTAGTCCATTGGTCCCGGTCCATTGTCTCATGAACATTACAAGGGGCTTGCCAGGTTGTTGGACAAGTTGGCTGTTCAGAGTGTCTCGCAGGCATAGATCCCAAAGCAAATAAGTAGATATACATTTAGATGGAAATAAGAATGATAAACTAGATCCGTGTCTTGTGTAAATGCAAAATAGAGAAATCAAAATGGGAAAATTCCACTTCCCTCCGTGGTGTTAGTCAACATGAGAGCTTGAATGCAAATACAGAACTTCAATTTATTAAGGATTTGGGGATCTGAAACAAATTCCAACAGGATTTGAAAAGCATACAAGAACTTTGTTGAACAGATTACATCTAGAAATATCAGATGTATGTTAACCTTCAAACGTTAGTTGTAAAAAGAAACAGAGGTGCAAAGGAGATTAATGTTTTTCTGGTATGGAAAACTCCAGAAACTTCAGTCTTTCACTGTTTGATAATATAATTAGCCAGTGTTTTGACTAGACTGATTTGATAATGATGCATAGAAAAGGGCAATTTAATCTTGGCACAGTAACTAGGAATGTTTGCCTCATTGCTTTCTATGTCTTAATTTCTACTTTAAATTAAATGTCTTCAGCTTTTGAATGTTTTATATTAGAAACCTTCCTTTACAAACCTTCTATTTTGAGCCACTAATTAATTTAATGCACAAGTTAGGTATATCATGGGATTGCAATAGATCAGGAACATATTTTTCTTCTCTTTCTGCATCTATAAACTCTATTAAAATACATTGTAAACCATTTGTGCACTGAGGAGGACATACACATTTCTTGTTCCCTCTCAGATGTTTCTATTAACTTTTTGATGGTGCCTGTGCTTCTATTCCCTAAATATTTGTACTTCAATTTATTTGAACTTCATTTATCTTGCGTGAAAAAAACCACAGTGCACAAATACTTGCTTTAGAAAAGTATCTGCAATGTCTGTTGATGGGAAAGGAAATTAACCCTATATGCAAAGGCATGTGGTTTTCTTGCCAGTGTCTGGTAGTCTGTATTACCCTCACTCAGAGATGTGATGTGCCCACAGTTGTTAGTTCCATGTTCAGTCAGTGAGACTTCTTAGAAATAAAAAAATATCCAGAGTTAGATTCGCTGTGGTGAAGGATGATGTGAGGTGGAGACTGTAGGACTAGAGGAATTTACCCAGCTACTCTCTGGTGGAGGGGAGGAACAATAGATGTCTCTGTAGTTACCCATTACAATTACTTCCCGATGTTTCTCTTGAGCATCTGTTAATGCTGAGGGTTGTTGAAGTTGGTGGACCCCTGCTTTGATCAGGATAGCAATCCTCTGCTTGGATTTAATGGAGTACTGTTGTTCTCTGAGAAGCTTTGAGAAGACTCCACTTGGATCGTGCAGTTCCATCTGTGACAGCTCTTCCACCACGGCTGACCTCCTAGAGGTCAAAGCGGAGTCTCCCGTTTACTTCAAACTGGCAGAGTATTGAATCCCTCCTTTTTGTAATAAACATGCAATTTCTCACTTTGGATTTCACAGATCTCTTCTGTTACTTGGAAAGACTGAGCTTGAACAAAGTAATTAATCCAACTAATGAGTGCCAAACTTGATTTACCCTGATGAGGACAAACGTACTGGAGTGGGAGGAGGGTTTGATCTTGTATCCTGTCATCTGGAGCATGAAAAAAGTGTATAGAAAGATTTAAAGCAGATGCAGGAATCGCTGTACAGCCTTCTGTGTTAACCAGCAGGATATTTCAGATGGAATAATGATTTTTATTCTTTTCTAGGGGATCAGTAGCCTCTTCAGTTCCTTAAAAGTGGTGCGTCTTCTACGACTCGGTCGAGTTGCCAGGAAGCTGGACCATTATCTGGAATATGGTGCTGCTGTACTGGTACTGCTGGTGTGTGTGTTTGGACTGGTGGCCCACTGGCTAGCCTGCATATGGTACAGCATCGGGGACTACGAAGTTATAGATGAAGTCACTAATACAATCAAAACAGATAGCTGGCTCTACCAGTTGGCACTGAGTATTGGGACACCATATCGATACAACACCACTGGCTCAGGGCAGTGGGAAGGAGGACCCAGTAAAGACTCCTTGTACATATCCTCTCTCTACTTTACCATGACAAGCCTTACAACGATAGGATTTGGAAACATAGCACCAACCACTGATGGAGAGAAGATTTTTTCGGTGGCCATGATGATGGTTGGCTGTAAGTAGAATTTAATTTTACTGTGTTTAAGCAAAAAGTAGTGGTGTAGTTAGTAAGACAGCTTCATAGCACACTTGCTGTAAGCTTTCTTGACATCCTAAGAAATCTGAAGTAGCTGTAAATAATCATGAAATGAACTTGAAATTATTGAAAACAATAATTGAAATTCTGGAGTTGCTGTAGCTTTTAAATTGTTTGCGAGATAAAGTGTAGTACATACGTAAGTGTGCCCAATGACAATTTTATATTGAGTTCGGGGCCTCTTCTTTACACTTTAAAGATGGCTTTCATTGCGTTTGAAAGGTCTTGGCTGGAATTCGGTTGAAAGTTATGGTGTATATTCAAATCCCGGGAGTCTGACTGAGTTTTGCCTATAAACATGCACTGGCCTGGAAACACTTGAAGTGATTTTAGCCAATTCTCAAAACACGTAGTTATTCTGTAGGGTGATTGTGTACTTTATGGTGCTGGTTTGAGTTACAAGTAACCCTGATTTTAACTCCTGAATGTGGTGACCGTTGTCACCAGCAAAGCTAGAAGTGAAGGAAATCAAAAGACACTATATTGCACCTTATCACTGCGTCTCGCTGTTTTGCAGCTCCGCTGAAATAGTCTAAAAGCAATAGTGGTAAGGCACATTTCTCATTTCATGTGCTGCCAAGGTTAGATCACTGAGCAGCTCTCCAGGTTAACAGAAATCTTCAAAATACAGTAAAGGCTGCTGAAAATGTTAATATCATTTGGGAGAATTATTTTTCTGTTAAATAAATAATTCTTGGTATTTCTCTGGTGCTTTGTATTTTCTGAGCTCCATACAAACACTAAGCAATTATGTAACAAGAGAGCAAACAAAACCTTTTGAAAATAAAATCTGCAGAATCTCTCTGGTAATTATCTCAGCTAACACTTCGAGCATATCTCAGAGAAATACTGAACTATAAAAAGGAAGTTTTCTTGCTACAGTATTTCTCGATCTGTAGGAGATTAAAGCCATTTGTTTGGAGATTTTAAAATGCTTTTTTAAAAAAGAAGTTGCAGTTTTAGGACTCTGCTTGCAGCATGGTGCAGTGAAATTTCTGCTGAACAGCATCTTTTTACATGGTGATGTGTTTCAAAATATTTTGAAGTCCATAAAACGCATATCCCCAAGCTAGAGCATTAATAAGCGATTGCAGCTGGCCGTAGAAAACCTATAGGTGCTGATTAGCCTTTTGTTGAAACTGCTTTGTGATATTTACAGAAGGCTGTGGGTTTGGAGAATAAAGTGGATATAGAACATCTTAAATATTGTATTATTTATTTCCCTTGCCTTTTGTGAGGACTTCTACTGCTCTGCAGAGGAGGGTCCCACAGAAGGAACTAGGCAGCCATGGTAAATGATTTAGGAAGGGGTGAGAGCTGTCAAAACATAATGAATAATAGCAATGTTAATAATAGTTATGACAAAATAGATACGTGGCCTCAGTACGTGCAAAGGAAGTGGAGCTTGTAACCTGCTTTGTATTTGTTCTAGGTGGATTGAACTCTTGCTTTTTCATATCTGAAACACATATTAAAGATGGGGAATATCAAAGTATCAAAGCAGTATCAAAGTTGACATTTACAACCTGTGTATGTGCCACTGGCTGATTTTAATAGTTTTTGTAAGTGTTACCTACAAAATATTTAAATATAGATGATAAATTTATAAGTGGTACCTGTAGGCATTGTAGTTGGAAAACCATGAGTAGGTTTATAAGCTTTTGGGCAAAATCAAAAGTAGAATATAAAATTCCAGAAGCATGGCAAAAGGACAGTAAAGTTGCTTATTGCATAAAAATAATGCCATCAAAATAAATGTGACTTCTCTTGTAAGTGGGGTGAAGAGCATAGTGGTATGGGGGAAGCCTACAGAAAGAAGAAACCTTTATAGATTATTTGTAACTGTAAAAATGCTCAGTTGTGATCAAGTGGCTGAATTTTTTGCAAATATATCAATGAACGTTTGAAGCTTTTCAGTTCATGCACATCAGTATAAGGATTGTTCCTGCAGTCTAAAGGAGTTGCTCGGTTGGTTGAATACTGGTTAGAAATTATGCCAGCTTCCTAATCAATACTGGTTGTGGGCTTTATACTTGCAATATTTCTGCAAAGAGATCGAACCTGCAGGACTGTATAAACACGTTTTGCAGTGCCAGCTGCCAAAAACATGACAGTCGGAAGGAAGGCACAACAAACAGCTGATGGAAAAAGCAATTTCTCAGGCAATCAAAGTGGCTGGTGAGCTTGGGAAAGGGATTTGGTCCCAAGAAAAGGTGTAAGTAAGAACTGAAAATTATTCGTTGGAGTTGTTTTCAAAACAGTTTTTCTGTTGAAACAGTGTTTTGAGATAAAAATTCAGCAAAATTCAATTACATTTCAATCAATAAAAATCTTTGATCCCTGAACTGACTGCTATTGTAAGCAGAGAGAGACTGTGAAACACCTTTGGTAGTTTTCCTGAAGAAGTCTGCTAATACCAATAGTTGATATTGGCAGCGTCTTTTCTAACAGACTGTGCCACATAAGTGTCTTAAACTTAGCACTAGTATCGGAGATAGTAATTCATCACAATCCCAGCTGCCTACCCATGCAAACTTCAGATAAGAAGGAAAATCTTTGCTATGTTGTCAGCTAGCAGCGGCTTGTTCTGCAAGCCCAAAGCTTCCTATTCACGCTGCCAAAGTTATCGGGACGCGGGAGGAGTATTTGTGGAGATTTGCAAATCTTTCTGGTGGGCAGGATTGCAAAATGGTGTACTTGTTAAAAATAGCTGAGTGAAGATTCTGTGGCTGCTGATAAAGCATTGCTCAGTGCAGGGTGGTGGCGGGGGAAACCCAGATGAATGGGGATGCTTTTCAGTTTGATTGGCAGTTTGTCACTTGGTTGTTCACCGAGGACAGAATCGGGTGGGATATTTAGACTGAAATACATCACCTGTCTTGCAGAAAAGAGCTTTGAATGACTTAACCTCATCTTGTGGAGCTTACTTCAGATTTCTTTTTGCTTCACTTGTCTTTCTTGGTGTCCAGTGCTGTTCAGCAATATTTTTCTGTTGCTTCTTGACACTAGGAAAGCTAAAAATAGCAGACATAAAGCATCCTGTGACAAGGGAGCAAGGTTTTTACAAGGGTTATTGTTTAAATACCTATTCTGCATTTTCTGCCTAGAGTTGCTGAATATGCATTGCAAATCTGCTTTTTGTAGCTGCTTTTGTGTTGATACAGGTCATTTCATCCCCTCTCTGCACAGAACAGAGCAAATAGATCCGTCAGATCCTTGGAGTGGACCAGGATTCACTTATCATTCAGGAAGGACCTTACCTGTAAACCCCACATTATCTTCTGTCAGCTTACAGCCTCTAGCAAGAAACTCGGTCTCTTCTGTTGCATGTTGTTCAGTCTACAGGCAGGCTGTAGGCTTCTACGGCACAGCTGTAGATGTAAAACTAACTGGGTTTCTGCCTTTCCCAAAAAGGACTGTATTAAGGAATAAGCTAGAAAGATACTTTTGCTTTGTACGCCATTCCGATCTCACAACTCAGCACAGCCAGGACTTCAGTGAGCAGAAAGTCTGTGAAAGGGAAAAGGCACTTTGATGAAGGTGGCAATATGGCAAGGCGAAACAGCCTGCAGAATTCAGGAGAGACAAGTTTTTCTGAAGAAACAAGTGTGAATGTTTAAGCCATAAAAGTTTGGGTACTGCAGTATGCCTTGTTCCCTCCTGTGCTGCCACTGGGATATAAGTGGCCAGCTTTCCAGCTTGCAGCTCAGAAGGTCTCTGACAGACTTCTGCATGCTTCTTATGTAACCTGGAGCAGTCTGTTTGCCCCTGTCCATGTGCAATGATGAAATTGCTCTGAATGACATAGAGCAGATTGCAGAGTCAGTCTAGTGCAATAAATATGGCATCTACATGACTTAATTTGTCCAGCTGAGGGAGCCCAACGCACCACATACTTCATCTAAGCAATAACTGAAATCCAGTGTATTCCACTGGTCACTGAAATGCCCCGATGATCCTTGCTGCAAGGGAAGGTCCAAACAAGATACTGAAGGCAGGAGTGTTAATGAGTGTTGAATACTTCACTGTTTTTCAGGATGTGAAGTCCCAGAAGAATCTCTTTAGTCATCCATCAGTCGCCAGAAGAGCTGAGAAAGGATGCTTTGTTGTTCTTACTTTATAGAGATACTTATCTCTCATATACATAGCTTGCTTTGGCTTCTGTTTTCTTCCAGATTTATGGGGAGGTCCTTGTGGAGGAGGTATTATTTTTCAATGACTGGTTTTAACTTATGGTGAAGACAGGCTTGTTAATTCAAATTGGTTTTGTTTATGAGCAGAAGAATTTGTTGTGGTGATTCTACAGGAAACCTTCTCCGGAAATTTGGTGATTTCTGCCAGCTATTGGAGCGATTTCTAGACAGGTCATTCTAAAACTCGGTTTCTGATTTCATGGCTTGAAATGCTGACTTCTTATTTTCATCTCAACGATCCACAGGATGATGATTTGCAGGTTGGAAAAGAAAACAAACGTGATTGCTGTTGCTTTGACCCCAAGTTGGTTTTGTTCAGGGGAGAGCTGATGAAGGAGAGCGTGGGTGGGTTCCTCTTGATACCCTGCCCTGCTTTTCATTTTACTAAACAGAGAGAATAGGACATGTTCTTTGCTATTGACATCGGGTGAAATGCTCTCATCAGAGCCACCTCTGATTCTAAAACCTCCTGTAGTGAGCAAAGGCCAAATGATGCTGAAAAGCTGCTGGTTTATCGTGGCACCCTGCCTTGCTGTTCCTCAGCTCTTGTTTTGGAGTTGTGACACGGGGTGCTGCAGACTGTCAGTCATCTCTCCATTGATCTGCCAAAACTTAATTCATTATTCAAGTGGGTTCCTTCATTGTTCAAGTAACATTCATCAGTTCCCTGCCAATATATGGTAGTTAGCCACTTGAGTGCTGTTTGTATGAATCATGGAGGTTTAT